ATCGAAGGTCTCGTAATTCACTTCAATAATGTCCTCCACTTTGCGGCGATCGTCGCGTTTGCGGTCATTGCGATCACCGCCTCCTCCGCCGCCACCGCTTCGTCGGGACCTCTCTCTGGGACTGCGGGAGCGGTCGCGACGGCTGTCCCTCTGTTTCGGTGAACCGCTTCGCGAGCGGCGTCTTCGCGGACTCCGGGAACGACTCCTTCCCCGCCGTCTCTCGCGATCCCATCGACCCATCGGTTGGACAACAGATTCCAAGCAAACAGTCCTTAGCTTTCAATCAATTGGCGATTAATTTAATGAATTTAATTCAAAAACCAATGATTTGTTTCGCAAATTGTGTTTACAATCAATTGTTTCACACGTTTTGCAAACAAAAATATTTTTACAATAAAAAGGGTTTTACTGTTTATTACATAACTTTCACATCAATTACGACAACAAAACTTTAGTTTAAACTTTAAAATTAGTTTAAAGTTTGTCACAAATTACTAAATTATATGATAAACTAGTAATTAATCATTAATTAAATTATTTATATAAAAGTTAAACAATGTTTAAAATAAAACAAACAAAACATTAATATTTAATACGAATTCTTGCGGAAAATGCATTAAAAACACACAAATCTTGTCGTAATTGATGGCAAAGTCTATACGAAGTGTCAGACAATTGTCAGACAATATGTTGTAATCAAACGGTGTTTACAAACAAATCTATATTTACGATGAATACTGAATGGTATTCAGGGATCAAATGCAGTGATCTCTTGGTTCGGCACATAATATGAACGTATAATCGGATCGAAAGCACAATAATATAGCGATGAATATAATGAGACGATTAGTGTCTCAACAGACCAGAGATGAGAGAGAGTTGTCGTCGTCGGAGACGTCGCTATCGTTATCCCATTTAAACAAACTCTTCGTTGACATCAAATCAAACGCACCGCAGATCGGATCCATCGGCTCTTCGCAGCAGAACAACGAGTTCTATGAACAGAGGATTTACAATATTTTACCACTTTTTTGCAAAGTATTATCCGTTATATGTTTTACCAGACATTCAATGGTCTCATAACTGTTGTGTTGTCTTTCATCTGCAGGTGTTCTCAGGGATGTGTTCGCAGACGTCGAGCACCGGTGGCGTGGGCGGCGGCGGTGGCTCTCATGTGGATGTGTTCGACAAGTTCTGTGACGTGACTTCGTTCACACAAATGGTGTCGCGACTGATGGTGACTGAGATCAGGCGTCGGGCGAGCAGTAAGACCACCGAAAACGCCTCGCAAGCGATCGTCGAGTTCTTGGAAATGACGCCAACACTGGAGTCGCCCTCCGATAAGAAGGGATGGACTCTTCTGTCGACACTGAATCTACTCATCTGTTCCAACTCAGCGCCGCTCATCACTATAATGACCACAAACTCGTTGACCTCAACGCTCGTCAAGTGTCTGTATCTGTTCTTCGATTTGCCGCCCGTTAATGATATGCAGACACAGAGTGGCGGCCAATCGCCCGAAGAGCTGAAGCCAACAGAGCGGCGACTACTGTTGCAGAAGGTGTTCAGTCAGCTGTTGATCCGCTTGTGTTCATCGCATTCAGCGCTCATTGAATTGACCCGAAAAGACGATTTGGCGCTTCTGTTCAACGCTATCACCTCCTGGTGTCCGAAACACAACGCTTTGTGGCGAAGAACCGCTTCCGATGTGATACTAACGATGGCGAAGACCAACAATATTAACGGCGAGTATCTTCACGACAAGGGATGTGTGAATATATTTGTGGAGAATATGCAACGAATGCTAGAATTGGGCACAACTGGAACCACTGATATCGTCGAAATGCTCAGCACTTTAATACACTTTCTCTGCGAACTGTCCGTCAATACTAGCAATTCATCGACGGTTAACATATTTCTCGATGACTTTAAGAGCGGTTTTGGGTATAATTTTTTGATCGATTTTTGTCTTAAATTGGAACAAATGCCCGAAGAAGTGGATTCGTTGAAGCGATTGGTTTCGTTGATAACGCAGTTCACGAAAGTGGGCTCACGTGAGCTGAAGCCACGGCCGTTGTCTGTGAACCACTTGTTCATAATGGATGACTTCTCGATGCCGAGACCCACCACTAAGAATGCCATTAAGAACTTGAATGCATTCAACGTCTTCCAGACGGTGTGGATGAGAGCCAAGACATCCACTCTTCAGGCCATGATTTTGGACGCAATGCTTGTCCTCTACAGAGAAGATAAGGCCAACTATTTTATACTCGACTCTCAGAATACTTTGAGTCAATTCGCGGACAAACTTCAGCTGAAATCATTGGAAATACAGGTTTTTAACTACATTTCTATGCATAAGAATCTCTATTGAAAACAAGGAAAATGATTAATAAATGTAATTTTTAGGAGCATTTGTTTACACTATTGGAATACGTTGTGTACGAACTGCGATACGTGCCGTGCAAAGAGCTGATCAGTATATCCATTATTATCAAATCCAAACAGTGAGTACTTCTCCGGTCTATATGTTTGGTACGGCTTTTTTAAATGAGATGTTTTTTTGTTTGTTATGCGATCTTATAGTTCGCTGGAAAGCAGTACAATATGTCTGAAGTCATTGCTATCGATACTGAAATTCAATGCCATATTCTTAGACGTGTACCGAGAGGTGGGTTTACTCGATATCATTGCATCGCTTCTTATATATTACTCGCAATCGGACGACAAGGAAAGTGAGCCGCTGTTGTCGTTGATTGCGGACAATGTGTTGCAATTGCTTTCGGGTCCCAATCATAACAACTGTCAACTCTATAACGAATGCGGAGCCGCGAAACACACGTTTGGTTTCCTATCAAACAACAAGTGCTCCAAACAAATACGAAAGAAAGCGTTTCATATCATTCAACAGTTGATACTATCGAATAGCGGCGAAGAACACTTGGCCAACCTCTTGGCCCTAATGCACAGGGAATCAGACATTACCACGAATTTGAATCTAAAGTCATCGATATTGAAGTCACTGTTGGTTGTGATGCGAGAGAACCATCGCGTGAGAGCTATATTCCGAAAAGTGGGCGGATTTGTGTACGTTATGTCCGTTTTGGTTCATATGGAGGGCTGTCTCGACGGCAAGTCTTGGAATAATATCGAACCCAAGAAGATATGGAATCTGTTGCGGTGTGTGTTCGCAGCGCTGACCACAGCCATGCGTTACGAGCCCGCGAACGCCCGGTTCTTTGCCCAAGAGATTTGCGCCTCCAGTCTAACCGATTCCATACGACTTCTCGGATGCTTTTGCGTCGAAAATGATTTGTCCGACACGTCTGGAGCCGAGGAAACAGAGTTCGAAACGCTGTTTAACTGTTCGCTCAACGATTTGCCGCCAAAGAAGTCGATGACACGATCGGAATCGGCGTGTCTTCTCATGCGACTACTCTATGATATGACTCTCGATATATCAGACAAATGCTCGACAAATGCGCAAACCGTTACTCAAAAGGTTTCGTCCAATACTCAGCCGACGGGAGGTTTGGGAGCCAAAAGGCCTCCGCACCTAATGCTGTCGCCCTCGGCTTCGGATCCGCCACTCATTGTTCACTCATCGGTCTTAATATCGATGTTTCAATTGATTCCATCGATTCCGGACCAAAATCTTCGCATATATTTGATGGAAGTGTTACGTCGACTACTGAAGAGTGAACGCAATCAACAAGTGATGTGTGAAATCAATTTAGTGACAGAGATATTGATGGATAGGTATAACGAGGCACTCATTAACGAAAATCATTCATTGCATACATCGGCGCAATATATACTCGAAAGACTTTCCGCACAACAAATTCAACCCAAAGAACTCAGGTTTGAATTGATTGATAATCCATATAATCATTGGTTATCATTAATTAACTAATATTTATCACTGTTTTAACCGTACGTTTAGGGCATTCCTCCGTTTGGGTCAACCACTCAATTGCATTGCTTTCGATGAACTCAATAACGGAAAGCCGAAGAATCAGCGAAACGGCGGACCAATCGCTTTGACACGAATTAAGACAATCGTTAGTATGACTACACCTAAAGACGGTACGAGTCATCACTTACTTCAGCCGCCATTTGTTGAGTTCGATATGAATCAGGAGGGCTTCTCGTCGCTGTTCCTGCCGTCGATCGCACCGATCAGTCTGAGTGGTGGCACATCGGGTGCGGGCAATCTGTTGACCGGTGCTATTGTGGGCAACTCTGACGTACCCGTCAGTGTGAATGGAGGCATAGGAACGGGCGAAAGGGCTTTCCCACCGCAGTCTGGCTTCACGTACTCGACATGGATTTGTGTGGAGAAGTTCTCCACCTCTTCCAGCGATGAGTCCCATAACGTACGGCTACTCACTCTATACAGAGCCTCACATTCCGGTCAAGAATACGCCTGTTTTCAGCTACAGATCGCCGCCAGAGATAAGGCACTACTCATATCGACCCAAGAGATCGCGATCTTTGGCGACGCTGAGGTCGGATCCAGTGGTTTCCCGCACTCTTTCGACGCCGACCATCACCTGAGAGTTTGGTCGCCTGAACTCATACAAGAGGGTCAGTGGCATCACATCGCCGTTATCCTCAATCGAGCGCTACTCAAGAACTCAACGGTCAGTGTTTACATCGACGGCCAACTGATCGCTAGTCAGAAATTGCATTACATATCGTCAGTCGCGGGCGGAATCAGCGGTATTTCCAACGCTAGTCCGGCGTATGTCAACGGTTTCATCGGAACACCTCCTCAATGGCGCAAACAGTCGCGTCTGGTGTGGAAACAGGGAGTCTGTCATCTGCTGGAAGAGCCCCTCAACTCGATGTTCGTGGCGTACATCAACTCTCTGGGACCCAACTATATCGGCAGCTTTCAGGGCGTCACTCACGCGCTGGCCGTACAACAGATACAGCAACAGATCTCTGAGGACCGCATTATATTCGGCCTCAACGCGAGGGCCACTTCGGCCATGACTTTGGCCAAAATGCGAAGAGTTTACTCCCGTTTCGATTGCCGACAGATATCGAAACTTCTGGGTATATCGACCCACGAGAACGCGACCCCAATCTATGTGTTGCACAACTCGGCGGGACATCTGTGCGGACCGAGCCGTTCGTTGGGCGGTATATTGATAGGCAATATCGGCGCGCGTTGTTTTGTGCCCAAACCGGTGGCCGTCACGTGCAGTGACATCGGCGGCGCGACTCTGCTGTTGGGTCTGATCGCCAACTCGCAGGACGTGGAGTCGCTGTACGCCAGTGTCAAAGCGTTGGTTTGCGTGATTCGCACCAATCGTGAGCTCCAGTTGGAAATGGAGAGAATCAATGGATACCAAACACTGGCGATGCTATTGAGACGGAAGCGCCAGTTCCTCAACTCACACGTACTGCACCTGTCGTTCAATCTGATCGGCACTCTTGATATCAAGCGCTCCAATGACACGGCGATGGAGATCCAGCGCATCGGCGCTTTCAAAGACCTATTGGCCGATCAGTTGGATCTTTGGGCGCAAAACGAGTTATTGAAATCACTTTTAGAGCATTTGAACGAATTGTTGCTCGACTCGAGCCATCACTCGACTGAAAGCAAATCAATTAATCTTAAAGTATTACGCGATATGTCTTTATTGCCAAAACTTCTTAACCTCACGCGTGAGATACGTATCACTGATCCCAAGATTCTGGCACTCATTTACTCCATTTGTTATCGACTTTTGAATCAAACGTCAAGACATTCTGATCTCTTATATTTCGGTCAATTCACGGCTTCACTACTTCCGGCCAATAATGAGGAGAAGTCCGAAGACATCATTGAATTGAGGAATTCATTGCTGAAGATATGTCTTCAACTCATGACCCGAAGTCAACAGTTGGCCATAAATCACGCCATTCAAGAGGAATTGTCCCGAATATTGGGATTCGATTGGTTCCTGCTATTCCTCCAGAGCTCACTCCATAAGGAAACGGTGACCATTGGTTTAGTGAACCTCATGGTTGTCATATCGAACCTAACCCTATATACAAAATTCAAAGAGGGCTCGTCTAATGGCGGATGGCTTAAGGACACGGAGGCAGTGCTCGAAAGCCGATTCGGTGTCCAACTGTTGGGCTTTAATGTGAACCCGAGTTCTACCGCCAGTTCGATGCAAACGGTTCTGACCAGTCGTACGACTGGTATGAAAATGATTCGCAACGACTTGCTATCGATTCCGGGCTTTCTATACCTGAATTGGTTGATGTCATCACACGTACAACAGCCCAAAGTATATCTAGTCTTATTTCAGGCCCTCATTGGCCACTACCAGAGCTTATCGGCCACTGTCTTGGAGTCCATCGAGACCTTCGAACAGTTGAGTTTAGACAACCTCTGGAAGTGTCTGTTTAGTGAATCCAACGCCCGATACGCGCATTCGGGCGGTCTTTGCTGTAAAGATCTCTCGATAACCATATTATCGATGATTCACACATTGATATGGGATTCGGACGACAATTTCACAGACTTTCCCACAATTCTCGTGCAATTCATTATGTATTTGTATCACAACCGCAAAGACTTTCAAACGTTTTGTCAGTCGAACTCCGAGTTTATATCATCGCTGTGTCAGACAGTGATCGCCGATGAATGCGGACAAAACGCGGCCAAAGAGTCTACGGACACGAAAGTGTGTGTTTTGACCACACATTCGGCAAAGAAGCACATAATGGACTTCATTCGACTCATTATCATAAACCTGATCAGCAGTCAAAACAATAACACGATTCGTCCGATTCCTATCTTCGAGCAGTTTTTGGAGGGCTTTTCGAGCTGTAAATTAGCGCAAACAGAGCTCATCGCCTCACTTCTGGAGCACATGACCTCTTTGACTGAGTTTATGTCCCAACAGTACGACTCATCCAATTATATGCCACAACAGCAACAGATGGCCTCATCTAATATTGTTGTCTTCATCGCTATAGTGGTCGACAAGTTATGGCAGGACTGCTATCTCCGCGACCGTAAAGAGATACTCGACTGCGAACTCAAACTCATGACCCGTATTAACGTGGGTTCGCCGGCGCCGCCGACCACTTCCAAGTCCGGCAAGTCTTCGGTCTCCTCTTCGCTCTCCGAACTGAATCTGTTGTACAAGTCGTTGAACCGAACGGTACTCTATTTGCTGTCCCGTCCGTTGGAGTCCATATCGGATCGCATTTCAATGCTGGAAGTGTTGCAACGCATTCACACCAATCGACAGCTGATCCTAATCTCGTCGTGCAATACGGACTCCGAATTCTTCGTGTGTCTCACCTATTGTTTGCTTCAACTCATAGACGAGGCGAAGATCTCGCTGTCGGCCAAATCGCGCACCACATGGCACGTGGCTTCAGAAGCGGGCGGACAGATGGCCGACGCCGATGAGGGCGCTCTACTCATCGCTTCGGTGGCCAGAAAAATATGGGACGAAATATATTTGTCTAAAAGACAACTCTTGGAAGAGACACTTAAAGTGAATTTAGCGCCAAATACGCCGGCGTTTGGCTTAACGTCAATCACGCCAGAGATCTCATCGCTGAGAGAAGCCCTTTACGACCCGACGCTTAAAATTTGGGTCAATTATATTGAATACGAACAGCAAAGGCAGAGAAGACGCGCCGCCGGGAACTCGTCGCTCGACTCGCCGTCCGTCTCGAGTCCGACGGCTATTATAACGGAAAAGTTGGCAAATATTAATAAATTCAATTCATTGGTCTCAAAGTCTGCCGGCGGTCTGGTCTCTAAGATAGTCGGCGGAACCACTGGTGTGGTGTCTGGAGTGGTGAACACAGCGGTCAGTGTGGGCGCCGCCGCTCGGAAAGAGGCGTTCCGTAATTCAGTGTCCGACTCGTTAGTTCAGGGAACGACTCAGCCCTGGCTTTTGATGACTAAAAGCGAAGTGATTCAGTGGACAGCAATACATCTGTCAATTATCAACGATTTCATTGAATTGCAATTAAAGCAAAAAATTCAGTCCGACTTTCATCTAATGAAATATGTTTACGACGACTGGATTGTCGCCGAATACGATCTTCTGGTGAGAGAGCGCGCCATTTGGGGACCCGATTACGGGTCCAAATGTTTGGACAAATGGAAGTTAGATATGACTGAAGGCCCGAATCGGATGCGAAAGAAACTGATCCGAAACGACATGTTTTACTCCCACTATCCCTATAAGCCTGAGTACGAAGGGATGGACGCGAAAGCGTTGAAGTTTAAGCTTCCCATTAGTAGCGATTCAAAAGAGTATTACAAACGCTTTCGCGCAGAGAATAACAGCCTTATAGATAAGGGTTGTTTCGATCAGACCATCGATGACGTGATGTCAGTCATACCGGCCAACAGCGAGACCACATTCCCGGGCATCAAAACCTCGTCTCTGTTGCCATCGAAGTCATCGTCCGATAATGAGGACCAATACGTGTCGGACTTGAATCAAGAATCTCAGGACAGAGACGCGGACCCATTCGGGTTTGTGGACATCAGTTCGGAAATGGCTCGACCGGACTCGTCGGCGAGTGACCGCTTCGAACACGACGTGGAGATGCAAACAGTGCTCCGACTGTTAGAAGAGGGCGAACGCATATCGCATATGTTTCGTGTGGCGAGGATTCAGGGCTTAGACACTTACGAAGGACTGCTGCTCTTCGGTAGAGAACACTTCTATCTCATCGATGGCTTCACTTTACTTAAGACCCGAGAGATTCGCGATATCGACTCATTGCCCGCTAAGTAATCACATTTTTATTAATGTTTGCTTTAAATGCATTGTTTTTAATAAACTGTTTGCCTCTCGCGTTGGACAGTATGCACGACCCGATAGTCCCGAGTTCTTCGCCGCGTAATAGCATTTCCGGCGGAAGTAAACAAAGGAATACAAAGAAGACTTGCAGTAAATTTGCGTTCGAAGACATCAAAGAAGTGCACAAAAGGCGATACCTCTTACAACCGATCGCTTTGGAAGTGTTTTCACTCGACGGCCGAAACTCGTTGATAGTGTTTCCCCGAAAGATACGGAACAAAGTGTACTCGAGGTTTATGTCAGTCGCCACTTATATCACAGACAGCGCTCAGGACTCGCTTATGGGACAGAAACGGTCGGCAAACGTGGAAACGGCCGGTATTTTAAGTAATATTATCGGCGAGACGTCTGTCACTCAACGATGGGCTGTAAGTGTTTTGTATTTTTCACAAATATTATGCAATACCAGACATACTGTTCAGTGTTTTACATAAAGTGTTAATTATTTTATTTATTGTTTGCTTTAAAAAGAGAGGAGAGATTTCAAACTTTCAGTATTTAATGAATTTGAATACATTGGCCGGTCGTTCGTATAATGATTTAATGCAATACCCGGTGTTTCCGTGGATTATCGCCGACTATTCGAGTTCTGAATTGGATTTCTCAGATCCCAACACATTCAGAGACCTCTCCAGACCAATGGGCGCTCAAACGCCCGAACGGTTGGAACAGTTTAGGAAACGTTTCAATGAATGGGACGCCGACTCTGACATTAAAGGGGTATTTATCTTACATTATGTCCCAATGTTTGCCGGTCTTATATTTTGTAATATTTATCACATTTAGTCGGATGACTTGATTCAGGGGCCCTATCATTATGGCACGTTTTATTCTAGGTAAAATTATTATATATACTTATCATTAAGTGTGTAAATGTATTAAACTATGTGTTGTGTCGGCAGTGCGATGATTGTGGCCTCATATCTGGTCCGTATGGAGCCATTCGCGCAGCACTTCCTTCGACTACAAGGCGGACACTTTGATTTGGCGGACAGAATGTTCCACTCGATAGGCGACGCCTGGACCTCAGCCTCCAAGCATAATATGGCGGATCTCAAGGAACTGATCCCAGAGTTCTTCTATTTACCCGAATTCCTCATGAATTACAATCGATTTGATTTGGGAAACAAACAGAGCGGTGTTCAACTCGACGACGTCGTGCTCCCGACTTGGGCTAAGGGTTTGTCGCCTTTCCCGTCAGTCTGTGTTTGTTTTATAATTGAAAACTTGTATTCAAACAGACGACCCGAGAGAGTTCATCCGTGTCCATAGGGCGGCCCTGGAGTGCGATTATGTGTCCGCACATCTGCACGAATGGATTGATCTCATATTTGGATACAAACAACACGGTATGCATTGAATTGCATTTACCGGTATTTTGTTAAACAATTAGTAACCATTGAATGTATCACACATTAGGTCCACCGGCTGTGGAAGCGGTCAATGTTTTTCATCACCTCTTCTATGAGGGAAATGTTGACATTTACACGATCGACGACCCGTTGAAGAAGAACGCCACCATTGGTTTCATCAATAATTTCGGTCAAATACCTAAACAGTTGTTCAAAAAACCACATCCGGCGAAGAAGGTGTTCAGTCACTCAACGTCTGTCCCATTGACTCCGTTGCTGCCATCAGTTGGTCTCAACTCAGTGCTGATGAGCAGTTCATCGCAGGACAAAGTATTCATTCATCATTTGGATAATCTGAGGCCATCTCTGCATCCAATCAAAGAGCTTCGCGGAGCCGTCGGCCAAATCATTCAACAGGAAAAGTCTTTATTAGCGGTCGAGCAGAACAAAGTGCTGATTCCCACACAATTCAATCGATACATTGCGTGGGGTTTCGCCGATCACAGCATCAGAATTGGTCCGTACGAGTCGGACAGAGCGCTGTTCATATGGGAGAGCAGTCAATTGCCACCGAATGGCGAGATTCTGTGCGCCACAGTTCCCAACCCGAGGATTATCGTAACCGCCGGAACCAATTCAGTGATCTCTGTTTGGAGGATCAAAGGAAAAATGCAAAATATGTCACTCATTCAAAACCTGTACGGACACACAGAACCCATCACTTGTTTGAGTTCGTCGGCCGTCTATGGGATTATAGTCAGCGGTTCCAGAGATAAGACGTGTATTATTTGGGATTTAAATCGTTTGATTTTTGTCAGACAATTGGGTCAGTATTTAATTGTTTAAAATTTAATTCAAATATTGAGTTAATTATTTAAAACGTGTTTTAAAGGCGGCGGACATAATCTGATACATACGGCGCCCATCGCTGCCATTGCCATCAATGACCTGTCAGGAGACATAGCGACGTGTGCCTCCAATTGGCTCTATTTGTGGTCAATAAACGGCGATCTAATCGCGAGCGTCAATACCCTAAACATCTCATCGATGTCCCAATCGATGTCCACCACTCAAGTACTGTGTGTCGCCTTCTCTACGTATAACGAATGGGATTCGGCTAACGTTATAATGACCGGCTCTTCCGATGGTGTGGTCAAGATGTGGTCCATTGACTACATTCAGGTGCCCGTCGACGACGACGACAAGTCGGACCGATCTTCCAATACGAGCGTATCGTCGACTCCGACCGATGTCTGCAAAAACGATTCGTCGCTCACTATTCCCGTCTCGAAGGATGAGATCGTTCGGCGCCTATCCATAGCGTCGGCCACTGCGGAGAGCAATAAGGGAGACGACGACGAGTCCACCGAAGGCAACGCCTCCTCACCCGAAGACAAAGATAACGATTGGGATCTCTTGCATATCGAGGCGTCGGACGAAGTGCCCGCCCTATCGCTACCCCATTCCAAGTCAGCCGCCATTTTCATCACTCCAATCGCCAAATCCTCGCCACCGACTGAACACAAATCGCTGAAACCAATGCCAAAGACTTTGACCTGCGGTTTGACGCCATCGCTAGAGGTGCCCAAAATCCGTACCTCAAAGTCCGACACATCGCTCTTCGACTCGTTTATAATCGTTAACGAAAGCGAATGCAATCGAAACCGATTGCAATCCAATGCTGTTCTCAAAGCCGGCCATAAATGGATCCCAAAACTTGTGTTTCGTTCAAAGCTAACAATGCATACGGCGTTTGAGCGCAACGACAACACCGAACCGGCGGCCATCACAGCCCTCGCCATCTCTAAGGATAATAAGACAGTGTTTGTCGGCGACGCCAGGGGTCGGGTCTTCTCGTGGTCTGTGAGCGAAGGCAGGGGTGTATCCGACCATTGGGTGAAGGATGAAGTGGTCGAGAGCTGTACTAATTGTGGCACAAGATTCACGTTTTCTGAACGAAGACATCACTGCAGGAATTGCGGTCACGTCTTCTGTTCAAAGTATGCAATCCTTTTGATTATTGCTTTATTATTAATCACATTAGAAGTGAATCTAATAAATAATTGTATTTTTTGTTTTTGTTACCAAAACAGGTGTTCAAAGTTTGAATCGGAAATAAAACGTCTAAAGATCTTAAAACCGGTGAGAGTTTGTCAGAACTGCTGGTCTAACCTTCAGTCCCAACAGTCACTATCACCGACTCTTCGGCCCAAATGAATGTCAAAGTGTTTGTGAAAATTTTAGACACAAAATAAGTAGATTTTGCGCAAAATTTTGAGATATATTTTTGTGTCCATTCGAGTCATATCTTAGCCACTAATTCATAGCATTCCTATTAAATTAACGTTATTTTCTTAATTCAGTTATTATTTTAATATAATTTTGGTTAAGTTTTTATTATGTTTTTCAAATAATTTTTTATTGATTATAAACTTATTTATTACAAAATATAAATTGAATTCCTATTTTTATACATTAATTAATAATTAATTTTTCAATTTATTTAATTTCTGTTATTTGGAGAATATATTTTAACAAATAAATTATTAATTACTGTGTCATAGAAACAAAACAATTGTATAAAACCAATAATACTTGTAATGATTTTTGTCATAAGAAATACTACTAATAATATGTTATGAAAAATGTAATTCATTAAAAATAATATATGCATAATATAAATATAAATCTAATTAGAATTTTAATTTTATTACTAGATTTACAACACAATTCGTGTCATAATATGTAGTTAACTGTTGGGAAACAAAAACTGTTTTAATTGTATATTTAGATTACAAACAAATTACATATATTTATGCAGAAAATGGTACTTTAAATGCTGTCAAGTGTTTTGATCAAAAAAATTGTATTAACTTTTAGATTTAATTGATTGTTCAGTAGTAGCGGAAGCCCTGCTGTACCGCTCCTCCACTTATATATCAATTATTTGCATTATTTGTTACTTCAATGACAGTATATCAACACTTATGTCAATAGATATTGAAGTCACACATGAATACATACAATATCCATATTTTGTATAAGTTATACCATAATGTGAATCAGATATCAATTATTTGGTGATATTTTAATTATTAAAATAGCGATCATTTATCACACAATTTGTGTTAATAATTGTATAAATTATATGTTTATAATGAAATATTTTGTCCATTAATTTAAACGCAAATAATTTCAATTAATTACATGAAAATACTTGAACAGCACATCTGTGGTCATTGTCTGTATATTTTTGGTGATAATTATAAATCATTTATCTGTTGACAAGAATTCATTGAAAAATCTATTTTGAAATTTATTTTAAAATAAATCTTAAAATAAAACAAATTCTCATTAATATTGAAGTCATTTATTTCAAAAATTAATATAAAGTAAATACTTAATCAAAAATATCACTACAAATGAGTTAATTACAAATTTCACTTTATTAAAAATACCGGTACAAAATAATAATAATAATAATGAAAAAATGGTTTTGAAACTAATTATATGATTGATAGAAAAATTTACAAACTCTTCCCAAACTGCAAAACCAGTAAACATGCGATGGTATGGAATCTATACTATAGATGTGTCACATATTTTGGGCACTTATTTAAATAGAATATCATTTTTCAATTGAAAAATATAATCAAACGTTAGTTTAATGTAAAAATGCAATCAATCATAAATAATAGGCAAGCTTCTTGTTGATGTTATATATTTTATTCATCATAAAGTCGAACATGCGCTCCCTTAAAAGCACATTTACAAATTAAAAGTGTTTTAATATCATCTAGATTTTAATAATTTGTTAATCAATTGTTATAATCTATAATACATATTAAATATAAGGCTGATATACCATTAATTAATTATTATAATTGTTATTAAAGTTTTAATAAATGATGAAAATATTAATTCAATGGGAGTTTTGAATTCAAAGTAATTTATTTCTCAATAATTGTATTCAAGTTATAAACTAGGGATAAAGTATTTGCTTATATGGAAATAAATATTTAAAAGTATAGAATTATTTGTATAGAATAGGCGTAAACTGTATTATATTATAGAATCTATACTAAAGAATAATAAATACAAAAGTTATAATAAAATGAAATTTAATGAATAGGTATTATTTATGTACAAAGAAATTCTCTGAATTTAGTTTTATGTTAAAAATCAAAAATATTAAATAAAATTGAAATCGAAATCGTTTCACAACACAAAAAACTGTTTTCGATTTTTATTTATTAAAATATTTAAATAAAAAATACATAATCTATGTAAAAATAAAAGTAATCAAATTCTTTGCAAGAATTTTAATAAAACTAATATAACTGTTGGAAACCAAGACATGTCAAATCGAGAACTTACATATACCTATTAATATTTGTGTTTAACTGAGAAACGGTTGTTGTTTTTTTTATTGACATTCAATGACAACTTTAACTGAAATTAAATGAAGAAATATAAGTTCTTATAATTGAATTTATAGGAAGAATAAAAGAAACATAAAAACACTAAAAACCATAATCTCTTAAAAGTCCAAAAGTAGACATTAAATGGATTTACTATTACATGCAATCGAAGCCAAAAATATACTTTTGGTATTAAATACAGTGTTATATATTTGATGTTTGAGTAAAACATTTGCTATATTTTGGTATTAAATTGTGAGCTAAAGCCAAGAGAATTTCAAGGACTGGAAAATTTATATTGATTTCGAAATACAATTTGTTGTTTTGTACAATCGTGGGTATCATATACTTCTGCCAAATCCCACTTTCTAACCAAAAGTCCATTTTCTGGTAGTAATCGGCATAAGGAATAATGTTATGTAAAAAGCCTCTATTTTTCGGGAATAAAAACACCCAAATTCGGGCGTGAATTGGGAGCATAAAACAGTCAAATTAGGGAATAAAATCGGGAATTAAAATGTATGTTATTTTGATATTAAAAGTATAATTATGAATTTAAATATAATACTTTTTATTAATTTTAATATTTTAAGCAAAATTTACACAAACCCACTTTTATTTTCGATTTTAAAATCATTATTTGAATTTAAATAACCTCTTAAATAAAAACAAAAATTGCTCTTATGTTTAGGCATTTTAATGAATAAATGAAAACACAAATATAATTTTAAATTTAAAAAGGGATTATACCGAGTGGGTCACTTAGTTAATTAATTTAAACCATATTAATATATTTTAAATGTTATGATAATGTTATTAATCGAATAAAATTCTGCCAATGGGCATTTTACATAATTTTAATTGAATTTCAAAGTTAATATAATTGAATTAAAACTTTCAATTTTAGCGCTCATCTAGACTATGAAAGCCATTCATAATGTTTAATGACCTTGTTCATTTAGAAAATTATTCATTATACAAATATAATTTTGAATTTATTAAATAATCAACTTTATTCAAATATAATACTCAATAATTACAAATATAACAGTATGTGTATTAATTATAAATGTGAATAAAATTGAATGTAAAAATGTTTAAAGCATAACACCTTATCACAAATAGAGCATTTTATATGATTTACTAATTAAAGTTTGATTAATCATAGTGTATTATGAGTAAGTCAGTAAATGAGCAAGATTATTAAACATTATGAATGGCTTTCATAGTCTAGATGAGCGCTAAAATTGAAAATTTTAATTCAATTATGTTAACTTTGAAATTCAATTAAAATTACGTAAAATGCTAATTGGCAGAATTTTATTCGATTAATAACATTATCGTAACATTTAAAATATATTAATATGGTTTAAATTAATTAACTAAGTGACCCACTCGGTATAATCCCTCTTAAGGTTTTTTTGCTTGATTTATTTATATAAATAATATAATATTTGTGACTAAAATCTTAATAACTTATATAAAATATTTTCTAACTTGTAAGTAAAATAGTTTGCTTTAAATAGATCATAATATTTAATAATTCCAGTAATAGAGTCGCTTGTTTTCCCAGATTCATGAGAGAGAGAGAGAGAGAGAGAGAGAGAGAGAGACTAATCAATAATTTAAAAAATAATATAATTTAAATGCATAATATTATTAGGCATTCAATGAGCGTTAATGAGTAGTGAATATTTCTGATCACAATTTTTATTAATAATTACATTCATTGAATATTAACTTAATATTTGGTTAAATATGTTAATAAAATGTGAGAGTTCAATTTGACTTACAGTACATAAAAGTTAATCAATCAAATATGATTTAATTAAAAGTATAATAAATGAAATTATATTGTATACCGAGTAACTTTAGTTATGCGCTAACATCATGACCAATTAAGTCTAATATACAGGTTTGACAATAATTCTCATTTCAAGATATATGACAAAACATATCGGGTTTAATAAAATATATTTGAAACCAATTTGAAGATAAAATGCAAATAGTTATACATATAAATCCTTCATCTTATGGATCATATCTATGACAACCACTTGTGGACACTTTCAGTGGTGTTTCTCTAGAAGTGAAATCAATTTTGTTTGAATTTTAGACAAATAACCAGAATATTCCAGGAAATGTTGTTTACCATCATCGATATGGTCTGGCATTTCAAATCGTAGGATATATGACGTTATCTCTGCCCGTATTTGGTGTTTACCAAAACAAATTTTATCTTAATATAACAATTAATGTATAATTTAATGCAATAACTGAAATATATTATTGTATTAAATGTATTAATAGCACAGTAGAAATTACTTTTATAGAAAAAATTAAAACTGTAAAATTACATAGCCATTATAAATTGCAAACAAAATTTTAATTAAATTTTAGATACAATATTTACTATAAATTTCATGCTTAAAACAACAAATGTTGTGCAGATAAAAATAATTTTATGCATAATATTAAGTTCTATTGTAATACTATTTCATATACTGTGCTAAACAAAGACACAAAGACATAAAATTAATGTTATATTAACATATATAATTAAATATTTATAATAACTACTATAATATTATTTTCTACTATATTCTGAGCTGTCTTTCTTAATTCTTAATAAATGTTAATTAATATAAAATTATAATTTAATTACAATTTGTGTGCAACCATTATATGGTTTTATAATTAAATTTGTTGCAAATACTAAAACTAATATAGTCTCATAAATTCAGTTATACTTATATTAATTCTTATAAAATAAAGTAAAAATAAAAACATAAAGAAATGTTCATTGAATTAAGGAACAAGAAATGATAAATAATTTTAAAAAATTCATTAAACATTTGTTTAAATAATAGGAGACATAAAGAGCCAAAGAAACAACTAATTTGATTATTTAGCAAATATTCAATTTGTATTTAATTATCTCAATGAATAATTTAATAGAAAACGAAATACAAAAAAATGTGATTATTTCCAACAAATTAAGAAAATAAAACTGAAATCCTTTTCACTAATTATCAAAATATATTATACTTATGGAAGAGACAGACAAACAGCGGTATAGAGAAAAAAAAAGTTGAAAACATTTTCATAATTAGGTTATTGTTTTTGGACAGAGAAAACATTGCATACACGACATGTCCGTCCGTCCAATCAAACGAAATGTTATTCAAATAAAATTGAAAATTTAATTAAATGGAAATGTTTTCTCACTGCTATTTTTTGCGCTCTCTTCCCCTCCCTATCATTCACTCACTTTTATAGAGATATTTGCTTTAATTTCCTGTTTCTTATAATATAATATCAAATTTGTTTTCACGCAATGAGCAGAATATACAGAATAAACACAGAATATACACGAAATATATATATATTTAATGAAATTAAGTTCATTTTGTGGCCTAAAGTTATTATCGCTCAACAGATATAAAAAGAGATAAACTAGTCTTCTCTCACACTTAAGCCTTTCAGTCGTCTCTCATCTGATTGTCTCATATATTCTGTGTCTCGAAGAATATTCTTCTCTCATTGAGATAAACCTCTTAATCAAATCATAACTAAAACTATGTATTTAAATATGAATATAATATTCACTTCATTTATCTTATTATTTGTATTGTATTCAATTCAATGTTATAGTTTTGGTAAATATCTATTATAATTGTTTAAAAACCCAATTTTGATAACAAAATTTGAAAAATATAATCGTTTTCAATGAAGATCCTGAAGAGGATAACGACGACTCGGTATCGTTAAGCGATGTCTACGCAAATCCCGACGGATATATCATTATTAAGAAGAGTCCCATCGGATCCACCGTTTTGTGAGTTTCATAATCTATTACTTCCTTTCAAAAACAAAGTAATTTATTAGTTTATTAGTGTATTACAGTTTAAACTTTTCCCATAGTATTAATACTGGTGTAAAGTATTATATTTAGGTGCTGTAGAATAGGTTTCTATTTTTTAATCCTATTTTATTTTAAAACTAAAAAAGTTTTTTATTTATTTGAATTCGCAGTTTAAATAGTTTTGTATTAAATCTAATTTAATTAAATTGTTTGTCATGACATTCTTAGACAAAAAAATCCTTTACTGCCTTCAATTTATTTGGAAAAGACATTTACAACAGACAAAACAATTATAAATGTTCACATCTATTATAAATTCAATTAATTTCCATTTAATGGATATTCTTATGAATAACAATGTTAGTCTCTAAAAACATAAAATAATATTTTATTAAATTAATAAATTCAATATATTTATAACTTACGGCAAAATTATTAAAATGCAGGAAAGACTTATTAGGCAAGAGAAAGCGTAATGTTGGGGGAGTTGTCCTGTAAGTAGATTATAATTTATATCATTATTATATTTCATTATTGTTTATAATTTATATAAAATGATTACTGAATTATTTAAATTAAATATATTTTTGTATTTGAAATATTGTTTGTCAACAGAAAAGACTTATTGGGAAAGAAGAAACGCGTTTCAGTAGTCGGCGGAACCGTTCTGTAAGAATATATTCATTACATTTCAATAAATAGTTTGAAATCAAATATTTGAACAAAATTGAAATTTTTCTAATATTTTACTCCTTTAGGAAAGATTTGTTGGGAAAATAAAATGCAATTTTCATATCATATAAAATATCAGATCCTTTTTTGATGATTACTATTGTATAGATTGCGGAACTCTTTTGAATAAATTAAACTCATTTTGTCTTACTTTTTGGGCATATATTATACATTAAGTCATAATGTTTTTAGTAATAAAATAATTTAACCATTTATTATTGTCTTATTAATGCATTTGAGTATTCAATTGGAAAATAGAAGAGAGAGAGAGAGAGAGAGAGATTGTGATAAATATGGAAACATTCATTTATTAAACGATATGTTTGACTAATTATAATTTGTTTAATAAATCAATTATTAATTGACAATTAATAAAGAGATGATTATATACAGTAGTGTTCAGATTCTACACAACCGCTAACTTATCAGACATGACGTAACACAATGGCTATCAAAGTGAATGAATGTAAAAATAAAAATAGTTTTGAGATTGAAGGGATTATTGAAGAGATACTAAATATAATTTATTTATACAATACATTAATGTCATTAATCTTGAGATCACTTCAATCAAGTATTTGTTACAAACAAAAGCCATTCAAAGAATTGCATTGATTTGTCAGTAAAGGAGCCGACAGTCAATCAAATGAATTATATATTGAATGCGAGCTCTGTTTTATATATCTATGAGATGTCCCGGATTACTGATCCACTCAAATGATATTTGTATTCGTCGCCCAATCATTGCTTATTTTGCCCCGAAGTCAATGTTTCTTAACATTCATTCACTTAATTCAGTATTTATTGAGATATTTTATTATTTAATAAATTGTGTTCATTTCCTAACATTACTATAAAAACCTATTAATACTTCATTGATTTTAAATGTCAGAATGGCATATATTATTTGCTAAAAACCTATAACTTTAGTAATTTAAATAATAATTATGTTAATAATCAAACATATTGTCGCATAGATATCATTTTACCCGGAATTCAATACATTTCTAAAGATTTGTAAAATTTTTAATAATTAAATTCAATCTAATAAAAGACAAATTGATTTTTCTCAAAGTCCCTATAGTTTAAGTATTAACTAAAAGAAAATTAATAAAGTTTTGATTTATTCAAAGTTTTAATAGAAATTAATTGAATTTTAGGACAACTTTTTGTATAATATTAATGAACATAAATATAATTTACGGAAAAAAGCAATAAAACCAAAATCTCAATAGTAGACCATAATATGATGTTATGATGATCATATTATGATGAAAAGTATTTGACAATGAGATAGATGTATGAGTTATGTCTTGTAAATGATGTGATTCAGCGCCACTTTCATCTAAAAACGCCTTCACTTTTATTGATCGTAAAAATTTTGCTTCAAATCCACAGTTCTTACAGAGAATAGAGGCATAACTTTGGCTATTATTATGGCATATATATAGGCAGTGGAAGAGTGTGTGAGAGAGTGTATCCGATAAAACATACATCACGAGAGTTGGATTTGATTTTTACGGCATATATCACAGTATGAATCGAAAACATAATCGCTTTTAATTGAAAGCAAATAAAAAGTTGTCGAAAGAGAAGGAAATCGTTAATTAAAAATTTAGTTAATCACTGTTTTGATCGCAAATTGTTTGTTGATATCTTGATTGACATAATTGTTAAAACAAAAATCTGTTGCTATAATGGATCCGATTTGGTTATCGCAAGAGATCGCCAACAATGCGACAAATGTGGCAAATCTTCCGTCACTGGAAGCGCTGTCGGACAAGTGGCAGGTGTTTCTCATGCTATTGTACTCGACCACCGCTGCCGTATCGCTGGCCAGTAATATCATTACAATTGTGGTACTCTTTAAGGGCGAACGCATTTCCTCTGAGATCTGGAAATTTCTTCTCAATCTTTCCATTTCTGATATATTGATGTCATTGTTTTCCATACCGTTTACGTATACCATCTTCATGTTGGGCCGATGGATATTTCCCAAATACTTGTGCCCTTTCGTACAGTTTGCCCAACTTTGCTCCGTTTTCATCTCGGTCTATACCCTCACCGCCATCGGCATCGATAGGTATGACTTTTTATTGTTATTTTGTCTCAAGCAATAAAAATTGATTGTATTCTTTGCAATAAATAATTTATCATTATATCGGTGCCTGAAGTATACGATACACTGTATTAGCTTTAAAAGCATTTAAAATTAATAATACATTGCATTCAAAAGAAGCAGAAAGATTGAATTGAATTCTATAAAGATTCTTACTATAAACAAAAATAAATTCCAATCATATTATAGTTTACTATTTATATATAATTTTATATGCACCATATCAATATTTGACCTTTATTAACTATTCATTTATTACACTATTTACTGATAATTCAAGTTAATTGCATTTGTATAAATCGAGATTTTTCATTGCATTTTATACAAAAGCACAGAAAAAGAATTTCTTATAAAAACTAGGGATTAAATAATATGAGAAAATATTTTTGGTATGCACAAATGTTATTGTATTATTAATTAATTAAATATTACATAATTTACCATGCTTAAAAACTTTAGGCTAATGCTAATCTGCCTGAAAAATACATGGAATAATACAATCGTATAATACAACTAATGTGTCAAAAGTGTCGAGTGGTTTGATGAGTAAAAACTAGCAATTGTTGCGTTTATTTATTGTTGTGTTAAGTAATGTCATGAAAGAAAAAATTGTTTTCTTTATATTGTCTTATTTTGACAAAAATAACATGAATTGATTTTTTCTTATATTTAAGGAGCAATTAAAAAGTTAGCAAATCATAGCCATTAGTTTGCTTGTTTTATTTGATCTCTTATTCTCTCTCTCTCTCTCTCTCTCTCTCT